CACTTTGTAGTGACTAAAACTGAATCTTAAGAGTCACAATCTTGGCCTTAGCAGTTTCCAGACTAACATTTCAGCTTTCCTAACAGACCTTATTTGATGTCTCTGTATGTTACAAAAATTCTCTGTTGAATCCGGTGATTTGATTGCTTTGCCTTTCGGTTTCAGACCCTCTGTTCTCCTTCTGGGGGGCCTGGACCCTGATTGTAACATCTCTCTTCCAGTCTCTGTCCCAGCCTCTTACACAGCTGTCAGCTGCAGCCAGCCCAGCTCAGAGAGCAGTGGGGACAGATGATCTCATCCTGTCAAACTAAGCGACATGGGTCCCCTATTACCACCATTTGAACTTCAGGAGGAATTACCATTGTTTCTGAGGCCAAACACCAGAGTGGGATTTGACACACACTGTGCCAGCAGGTCCACAAATGCTTACTAGACAGATTAGATTAGAGATCACAACTCTGGTGCTCTCTTCCTGGCTCCGTTGTGCAGTGGTGGGTAGTGACACATAACCAGGTTGTATCTATTTCATACATTTATCCCAAAAGAGAAATGAGTGGCTAGTGCCTGCGCTTTCCACATTGGCGACCTGGGTTCTCTTCCCAGTTCCACCTGAAGTGACCTTGTGCAGCTTCCCACTTACCTAGTGAACTGGGGGAGGAAGTGTCTGATACTTCTCTGCTTTCTAGGGCTGGGGATATGGGGTTTTATTAATGATAAAGTTTGTGATCAGTGGCAGCACTAGGGGGGGAATTCTGAGGGTTACAGCCACCCCAAAATTTCCTTCAGCCCCCCGTAGCCACCCCACCCAGTGCAAAGGTGAAATGGGCTGAATCCGAGCTGGGGCTGGAGCCATGCAGAGCCGTGCCCACTCCCTAGCACAGGGCCGCCCCAGCTGGGCCAGGCTCTGGGGTGCAGTGTGTCCCTGGGTGGCTGCTTGTGTAGCTGCAGCCCCACCAGCTCCAGCAGGAGCACAGGGATGGAGTGAGTGGGCCATGAGGGTGAACAAGTAGGTGCTGGTATCCAGGCTCAGTGAGTGGGGGGCAGGAGCCTCTCTGGGTAGGGCAGGGGAGCTAGGGGAGGGGATCTGGGTGGGGGGCAATTGGGGGGATCAGGGAAGGGGAGATGAGTGGTGATC